CTACCTTTCCCTCTTGGTTCTCGTCAGAGCTGCGTAACCTAATCATATGTAAAAAACAGGCCCACAAACAATTTAAAATTAGTGTTAGGCAAGATGATTATGACTGTTTTGTGGCTTTAAGAAACCAGTGTGAAATTTTAAGAGCAGACTCTCAGAAACAGTATTTAGATGGGATACAAAATAACATTTCCGATAATCCAAAATATTTTTGGTCTTATATTAAAAGCAAAAGAAATGGGTATAATATACCATCCAGAATGGTCTATAAGGATAGGGTTGGCTTAAATATGAAGGACTCTGCCAATATGTTCGCAGAATATTTCTTATCAGTCTACTCAGATGAACAAAAAGATACTTTACCTTTTTTTTAATTTTGACAGTTCTATTTGTTTGAGTTCTATAATACTTACAGCAACTGAGGTCTATGATACTATTGCAAGTTGTAAAAACAGATTATGTGCTGGGCCGGATGGAATCCCAGTCTATTTTCTGAAAAACCAATCAAAATCAGTACTTACAAAACCAATTTTGTTTATTTTTAACAGATCACTTGGTACCGGTAGCTTGCCCAGTCTCTGGAAGAAAAGTTTTTTAAAGCCGATTTTTAAATCAGGTACAAGGAACGATATATCAAACTATTGAGCTGTCTGTAATCAGTCAGAGCTGCGCAAGTTGCTTGATTGTTTGGTTAGTAAGAAACTGACATGGAGTTATAGAGGCATTTTTAATCCTGAACAATTTGGCTTTCTGATAGGGAGGTCAACAGATATCAACCTGGCTTTGTATGTCAATCATATATATAACAGCTTTGAAGAGGGGTGCCAGGTTGACTCAATCTATACTGACTTTTCCAAAGCATTTGATCGGGTAAACCATGGGGTCCTCTTACAAAAACTAAGAGCTTTGGGTATTTTGGATCCCCTTCTTCAGTGCATTACAGAATTTGTTAGTGGTCTTTACGCAGAGAGTTAACTTGGGAAGTGACACTTCAATTGAAATAACAGTTCCATCAGGCGTGCCACAAGGCTCCCATTGTGGCCCTGTTTTGTTTTGCTTGTTTCTGGTCGATTTAGTACAATAAATCAAAAATTGTAGTGTTCTGCACGACTACCAGTAGACAACAGCGGTGTCCGCGGTAGTTCTACTTGAATTATTTATAAGAGAGGTGTTGTTGTAACATATCTCTAACTTTGTTTGCAATGGCTCGTAGCAATGCTAGTAGTGATAGTGATTCGGATAAACCTTGCATAAGAAAAAAGGGTGTTGTGAATTCTTATAAATATGCACGAAATAAATATCGTGATGCAAGAGTTCGCGGCGTTTCTTTTGTCAATGCAGCCGGAAAGGAGATACTAGCTCGTGTTCCCGCCTTAGAATGTGGGTAAGTAGCAGTTTTAGCCATAATATAAATAAGAGTATATTATTACTTTTCAATTAATTGTGCTTTTATTTTGTAACTTAATATAATAATCATTCGCATTGCATTTGGCTGACATTCTAACACAATTTACTAAGATTATTTAAGTTATGTTAATCTGTCAATTATTTTAAGTTGTTTTAAATATCTGCCTCATTTATTTCAGATGCAAGTTGAAGTGTTTGTCTCACTGGAATGCTGAGGAGAAGGCCACGCTTCTCTCCAAATTCAACAGCTTATCCAATAAAGATGAACAGGATGTTTTCTTGCAAGGCCTTATGGATTGCGCTGTCCCTAAGCGGCGATTACCCGCTGATAAAAATAAAAAGCCTAAATCCAAGACAGTGACGTACAATTTACTTCAGAATGGCAGTAGAGTTGCTATTTGTAAAAAAGGATTTTTGGCGAGCTTTGGAATCACAAAGAAAAGATGTGAGCGGTTATCCAATCTGCTTCATAAACAGCAAACTCCTCGTGATCGACGCGGGAAAAGTAGCAGTTATATATAAAATACCAACTGAACTACTTTCGGAAGTACATAAACACATTGCTTCGTACCCCACTAAAACAGCTCATTATACTTCTCACGAAATGCAATATCTGGATTCCACACTTAATGTGCAGAAAATGTACGACATGTACAAAGTTAAACACGCTGATCATAAAATTAGTTACGAATCTTTTTGGAGATACTTTAACGAAAATTTTGATCTTAAATTTGGCCAACCTCAGCAGGATACATGTGTAACTTGTGAAGAGTTATCACTAAAAATTAAAAATAAATTTTTAAATGACAACGCAAAAAAGAGTGGCTGTTGCTGAGTTGCTAGTTCATAAGCGAAGGAGCAAAAAATTTTATAATTACCTCAGAGCAGAACGGGAGGATAAAGACCAAACAACTGCCGCAATTGCAATAGATTTCATGGCCAATATATCTTTACTATTATACCTGTGCAAGATCTCTACTATTACAGAAAATTGACAGTTAGTGTTTTCGGAATTCATAATTTGAAACATGGAACGATGGTCTGCTATGTTTACCACGAAGGAGAGGGTGGCAAAGGCCCAAACGAGGTTTTAAGTCTGTTGAGTAATTATATTGAGACATACATTTTATGTGACCCTCACGTAAAAAAATTGAAAATTTTTGCTGATAACTGCGCTGGTCAAAATAAAAACCATCCTATTGCAAGGTTTATCATGACACTTGTTGAACTAGGTAAATTTGACAGCGTTTGAATTGCTCTATCCGATTAGGGGTCACTCATACATGCCGTGTGATCGAGATTTTGCCTTGATCAAGAGGAAGCTAAAGAAAATTGACAGGCTGTATCTGATAGAAGAAATTCTTAATGTGATAATGAGTGCTTCTAAAAACCCGTCAAAATTTCGAGTACATCTGCTGAGACACGATGCTTTTCTCGACTTCGGCAATTGGTGGCCACGTTATTATAAAAAAACGTGTCTTAGTAACTCATCCTGTGGTATAAAGTTCCAAGGAAAGAAAAATAAGATTTCAAATTTCAACTTACCATCACATGAAATGCGATAGAGCGGAACCTGGCATCCTCACATGCAGTGAGTTCATTAATGGTGCCATATCTGAGAAGTTTAACCTTCGAAAAATAACCGAAGAAGTGATAGTTTTGCCTTCAACGCGAGCTTACTCTGAAAAACGCCCATTAATATGTTTGCTGACTATGTAAAACTGTTTAGAAAAATTCAATCCTGATGATGTGGTTATATTACAGGAAGATCTTTAATTGTTTTATGATTGGTGCACTTTAAACAAAATGTCACTCAATATAAACAAATGTCATAAAATGACATTCTCGAGGCAAAGAAATCCAATTACATTTGTTTACTACATAAATAACTTGCCATTAGCCTCGAAAAATGAAGTATTAGATTTGGGAATTTGGTTAGACACCAAACTGTCATTCTCAAGCCACATTAACCAAGTAACAAACAGAGCGATGAAAGTGCTGGGATTTATCCAACACACATCTGTGGATCTGTCTTTATTTACATTTAGAAGATTTTATTGTGGTCTCGTGAGGCCCATTCTTGAGTTTGGATCAGTTGTATGGTCTCCATCATACCACTGTTACATTTAACAGATTGAAAGAGTCCAGAATAAATTTTTGAGGGTAGCAGCCTATAAGAGTGGATACAGGAAAGAGGCATATGACTATCAGTGGGTAAGAGATAGTCTTAACTTACCAACACTTGAGTCAAGGAGGACATTGTTAGATTTATGTTTCTTACACAAAATTATCAATGCTTTCATAGATTGTCCTCAACTCTTATCACCTGTTAGTCTTAAAGTTCCTAGTAGAAGCAACAGACAATCAGAAATCTTTTCGGTGCCATTTCACCACACTAATTATGGTATCAATGAACCAACTACACGATTGGTCCGGAGTGCTAATAGCTTGCCAAGACAAATAGATATTTTTGACTCCAAAATTAGTTTGTTTAAAAAACAACTAAAAAGTATCTTACAATAAGTTAGTTGTACATCTGTATTATTCTTATATGTTTGTATTATTCTGAGGTGTTTGTTATTTTAATAATTTATTGTTGTTAAGGTGTAACTTTGTAAAACTTGTGATTGTTATTTTAATAATATATTGTTTTTAGATGTAACTTTGTAAAAATTGTAAGTAAATGGACGCCCTATATAAATAAATAAGTGTGACCTTGCCGAAACGTCGTCAAAACAATGGTTTTTCTAAAAACCAAAACTATTTAATGCGGAGTCAAACCCGGAAAACAATTGAAATCACATATAGCTCCCACGGAAATTTCAAATCATATATATATATATATATATATATATATATATATATATATATATATATATATATATATATTTGTCTACATTGTCTTTTGATAAGTAAGATGGTTCAATGATAATAGTTTGTGACGCCAAATGGAGAACAGTTGATATATCATACTGTGGGATTTAGGTCCTATTTATCCAAAATATTTTCTTTAGCAAATTCTTCCAAAAAATATCTGTAATAATGGAGATAGGGAAGAGTCCATTAGGATAATGAAAATAGATGCTGTTAGTATACTTGATTTTAACAGCTTCATCATAGCTGATAATTCAGTTCTATTGTCAAGGTCTCTATTTACAGGCACATTTGTAAATAATCTGGTGATATCAAATAACATGATGTTTGGGTTATAATTTATTTGTGATAATTTTGCAGGAAATATCCATTTTTTATATTATATCTGTATCCCTATAATAGAATTTAACCTATCAATTAATTTACATTCCAGTAATTTATGTAAGGTTTCTAAAGCTCATATGCTTATACTAGTACTTAATAAGATATTATGAAAGGATCCAATAGAAACATAAAAAGACTCAATTTACCTAATATGTAAAAATTTAGTGACTATAATAGAAACAAAAAAAAATCACACTGACATAAATAAAATCTCTTGAACATATTGAAAAGTATAAACACACATACATAACCATTCCTCTTCTACCATTAGGTGTCAATGAAACGAAACTACACAATAAATGAAAGATGTAACTTCATATTTTAATCATTTATCTTACCTGAGTTATTCTCATCTGATTCATTCTTTAAGTATTCCAGATCGAAGGATGTAGATAACTGACAATCTATAGATCTTTGGTCACCTCCAACAAACTCTTCCTTAATGCCAGTGTTTACTGCCACAGCTAATAAAAAATAGGAATTAGGTATATTACATTGTTTATTGAATTGTTTTTTATTTAATTTACCTGATTTATTTTCTGGTTCAATTTTCAAGTGTCCCAGATATGTTGATGTGGACAGATGAGTCTCTATAATATGTCTTTGATCATATTCAACACACTCTTCCTTAATTTCAATATTAAATTCCATAGCTAACAAATTAACTTTACCACCTTACTGCACTGAAAATAAATATTTACCTACTTGGTGTTAAAAACTATAGGTAAAATATCAAATCAACACCACACAGTAATGAAGATTTTGAATATATTTAATTTATGCCACGACGAGTGCCGAGAATTTGACACAAACGTCATGTCAAATTTGTGTCTGCGGTATTGCCATGTCCTTATTATGTGTATGTTTTATGCCTCAAATATGCTTTGAAACAGTACATTTTTATTATATTATTTTATGAAATCGGGTATTTTTTAAAATTTTTTGAATTGATATGAAACACGAACGAATGAATATTTGTTTCTTTTGATATTAGTTGCAGTTAGTTATTAGAAAAGAAAATTGTAATTGGCCTTTGGTAGATTAGTAAATAAACTTGGCAATACTGTCAAAATTTTGAAAACAGTAGTTGCCAGATTGCAACAGATGTTTAGCAGATTTCAATTTTATGATTTGTATGACTATTATAATTTTGGGGCGAAATGGTACCTGAATATCGTTTTGTTAATGTATTAGCTAGTTACTGGAGCTTGTTCAGATCGATATTTTTTCAAATTTACGTTGCAGAGATTAAATTATCATTATTGACAATTTAATCCTTAAAATGTGAATAACAAAGTAAAAATATATCGGTAAAGATGTTTAATTAAATTTAATAACTTAAGAATTTAAAAGCTTAAAAAATTAAAGTTAATTAAAATTATAATAAATTAAATTTAAATTAATTAAACTTCTTTCAAAAACTTAAAAAGAATGTTGAATGTTAATTAATATTATATCGCATGCTCTTTCAAGGATTTATTTGTGATATGGCAACACTGCCAAATACAGATCTGTCACTAATCTTCTGTCAGTTCCTCGGCACTTGTTCTATAGGTCTGCCCATTTATAAAATTATATTATTTATCTATGTTTATAACAGAGTTTATAAATATACAAATACAATAATAATATACACATGTAACATGTAACACATGATCATGGAACCATAGATTAAATATATATAAGTAGAGACATGGAACGTCCATGCACATGATACTATGATAGAAGAAGATAAGATATTTATTGCGCATAAGTCGTGACGTCATTGGAGAGTTGCACCACAGAATAATAAACAATCAGAAGGGCCACTCTCAGATGCCATGTTTTAGGAGGACACAGACATATGATTTGTGTGGTTATGTAATTGTTTATATTTATGTTTAATTATATTATATTTATGTTATGATATTTAACAATGTTAATATAATTGTATAGTATGTCTATGATTGCCGTAAGTCAAATAAACCTGGTTAATTTTTCCATGCACACCACATAAACAACACTAATTTCTTTAAAATCCTCCTAAACCATGGCGGAACGTCTGCGCGGAGGAGATGCGCGTACTTAATTTTCCGTGGAGAGTGGGTATTCTGTTTGTTTATTATTCTGTGGTTGCACGTTCCAAATGTCAGTTTTTTGTATAATATGTCAATAAATAATTTTTAATAAATAGTTTGGAGATATCCACGGTTCCCATGATACAAAGAAAAGTTCCTAGACTTACTACGGTTGCCTCTTCCGCCTAACCAATGAACATTAAGCCGGACTGTACTCCTGTGACGTAATTTGAATCTTAACATTCAGCCCTGTGATTGGATGGATGTATCAAAACAAAAATGTTTTATAAATAAAATATGTTAAATAACGTGCACGGTAACCTGCATTTACGTTAAATTCTAAAAATTGATGTGATGTATCCATCGAGCAATTTGCTCGATGGATGTATCACAGATAACGTTTGTCAAAAAAAAAAACGTAATGTGGTAACGTAAAATCTTATAACATATATTATTCTTTGATAACAGGTTCAATTTAAAGAGACCATGGGAATAACGTGTAGTTAATAAAAATATAAAATGAACAATTTAGTCCAGAATTTTGGCCGGATTCTAAACGATGAGTTATTAGAAGAATTAGATGATGCTATTAGAAGGTTTGTTAAAGATATTTTTAATTATAGTATATTATTTATTTACGTTATGTTTTTGTAAACAAAATTATTTTATTGATAGGGATGAAGAAAACATTCAGAGAAGACTTTTGCGAGATTTGGTATTGAACGATGCATTGAACTTGATCCAGTTAAACTACCGGAAAAGCGCAAAAGACTTCATTATGTATCAGGAGTCCCACATCACAAAAAGAAAAATAAGTGTGAAGAAGATTCAGAAAAGGAAAAAATAAAATTAAATATTCTTAAAATTAGAAAATAAAAGGAAGAGTTAAGTAGAGACGTTTTAAAATTAGAAAAACAGAAACGGAAACAGAGAAACAGAAACAAAAGAGTTGGCAGTTAAAGAAAAGATTCTACAACTGAAACATCAATATGGGGTTGAGTTCGAGAATTTAGAAATTTTAATACCGTTTGGTTAATTTTATATTATTGTAAATTAGTTATTAAAATAAAAATTGGTTATCTTATTATTGTAGAAGTATCATATAAACGACATCATATACTGGTACCCAAGCAATATTTAAGAGGAAATAATAATTTACAAACCTTACTGTGTCCTCTGGAAAAGTTAAGGAATGCTTATTTCATCTAATATTTCCACAACACAAATTCCGTTTTGCAGTCTTAAAATCGAACACTTTACTCAAGAATAATAATAAACACAAAAAACTGAATGAAACTGAAATATATGTACATACTTTGTTTTTCAAATACCGTAAAATGAAAGGACTATGTATCTACTTGCTGATATGGTCTTATTTTCATGACTTCCTTGAAATGACAATATATCGCTTGAGAATATTATAAACAAATGAAATACTAATAGATCCCGTAACATTTTGCCTATTTTTCACAAAGTTATCTGTTAAAAGTGGGTATAAAAACTTTCTTATAAGTATGTATTTATTGTAGAAAAATTCTGTAATAAAAATACATGTTCATTATAGTATCATAAATATCATATTCATTAAGTTATTGGTGTTATATTTAGTTTGTTTCGTAGATTTATTACCAGAGTTTAATAAGAAAAAGTTGACACAATTAAGTTAATTTTATTTCTGTGACTATTTGAATTGTCAACACTTTTTTTTGTTAAATTAAAAATACATATACAATAATTAAAACACTCATAATTCTTATATTATGTTTTATCGCACCGTAAATAATTTTAAAATAAACATTTTATTTAATTAATAAATGCAGTACGTATGACAGCATTTCTTACAGCAAAATTATCTTGATTTCTAATGACATTGTTTAAATTTTCATCTTCTGGCTCGGCGTGATTACTGCCATCTTCACTATCAGTCAGCACATCATTCCTCGTTCTAAATATATTATGCAATATACAAATTGCCGCTATAATTGGAATAGCTCTATTTACACTGACTAGACACTCTTTACATTTTGGAATGAGGTGATATAGTCTTTCAACTGTATGTGCTTCATTGTCACTTTATATTCACAAACATAACACACTGTTCTCTCTTCAACAAGTATTCATGTGTTGTAGAGGTGTGTCCTAATCTGAGACTTGTTATTGGGATTTGATGTTGTCGCTTTGAAGGCCTGAAGTATCATGGAAGGACGGAAGATTTTATTTCTATCAATTTAGTGGTGCTTCTATTCCATTGGTCCCTTAGACAAACAAGGAAACCTTCTCTTTAAGACACCAAACATTCTTTCAATTGTATTCTGTGTGCGGATATGTGTATAATTGTATTTCCTTTCAGCTGGCGTTTGTGGATCATGTAAGGAAGTTAAAATATATTTTCGGCATGGATAACCACTATCACCCAGTAAATATGTTTCACAAAACTCATTGTTTTCAAACTGAGCTCTTATCAGAGAATTATCAAATACATTACTATTGTGGGAGTAACCAGGCCATCTATCAACTACATTGATTACATTTAAATTTGCATCACAATCCATCTGTATATTTATTGAAAAATACCAGTCACTATCAACACTAGATACAGTTGGAGAATTAACATCTGACACTGATGATACTGAAGACATTTCAAAATATTATTAAATCTAAATATTTTCACACCAGCCGAAAAGACATTGAAACTGTCATATTTACTTGTTAAATAAAATTTACTTGGTAGAAAACTAAGGAATAGTTTAGTTTGCAGATTTACTTCCAGAATTAATTTACTATGTGTTTATAATACGCAAATCTGTAGAGTAAATTATTTTACTTTCAAACTAAATTTTACTTGGCAAGTAAAATGTTTTATAATATCGCAATACCGGGCATAAAAGTAGTATAAACAAACCAGACAGCTGTTGATTTGAATAGAATTATTAATTATTTTTAGTAAATTTCAGCATTATGACTACATTAAAGTATTTTAAATCCAATCGATATTGTTTTGGTCCTCAATGCAATTCAAGATTTATAAAAGATATGTCCCTATTTCTCTTTCCTAAACTGAAAAACTTAAAGAAAAAATAATTTATTATGCAATTTTTTAAAGACAAATCATGTGCTATATTTTCTGACAGGTGATCTCAAGTTAAGGTTGATTTTATGTAATCAAATGATCTATTTTACAATAAAGCCAAGTTAAAGTTATTTATTTATGTTAATATACAATAAAGTACTTACATATGCCAAAAAATAGTATAAAATAAAAATTAACATATTAAAAACATAAGGTATAATAAAGCATATATACGTTAAGGCAAACATTACACAGAATATTATATTCTGGGTTCCCAGGTATACACAAAATAGGATTCATCATCATCAATACACAAGCCAGTTCCAAACATTAAAGTTAAAATTTAGGAATTCATCACTTGAAAACTGCTTCCCTTTCAACCAATGGACTCTTTGCTTGACCACAATACTCAAAGATATCATTAAGGTTAATTTCCATTATTAAATTATACAAATAACTCGTCTTAAACCAAACTAAACATGGAAAAGCAATGGTAAATATTCGAATGTTATGTTTGTTTTTGTTTATACCATTTATATCGTCCATGACACTGCAATCGACCAGGGGTCGTATTTTTTAATGTGTTTGAATTTACTCGCATGCGATTAGTTCGAACGAAAAAAAATCGTGCACGAACGTAAAAGCGTATTTTCGAACGTAAT